TATCAAATTTCAGTGGGAGAAAAATGAAAGAAATAGTGACATATGCGCCACTATTTAACCAGAGTAAATATTAAAAAAGGAGCACACTTCGACGCGTTTAAAAGTTGTACAAAATTTCCAAGTGTGCTTACGCGAAGGAGGTAATTGCTGGCACTCTGCATTGAAAAACACCCAACAGATGCTGAGCATGTGCTGAGGCGCTGAACAGGTGCTAAGTGACAGTTCTTACCCCCTTGCTATGAATGAATGAAACTATCGTGTGGTAAAGGCGAAGCGTCGAAATTGATACCAACTAGATAAGAAAATTTAATATTGGACAAATATATATATATATATATATATATACAAGTAACGCTCGTCTAAAACTAGCTCAGCTATTTCTCGTAGAAATCGCGTTACTTAACAACTATTAAGCTATTGCTTTATATAATTAAACGAAACAGAAGTCAGATTCAAGTTCCTCGACCCCGATTACCCAACTGGGTGTGGGGTGTGGGTGTGGGTGTAGGTATGGGTTTAGATGTTGATGGAAAGTGTGGATTCGACTACACTTTCCATCAACATCTAAACCCACACCTACACCCACACCCACCCACACTTTTTCAGATCTCAGTGAGAGAAATGAAAATATAAATATTTGATGATACTCATCAAGATCTCTGTCGAATTGAGTGGTTTGAAATCCGTCGTCTATATAACTCTCATATATGCCCTATAGCTGACTGTAGAATGAAGTGGACCACCAGATGAAACATTTCTAATTATCTTTTCTTTGATGCAAGAAACCCAATCTTGTCACCTTCATTCTTTTCACTTATCTATCATAAAAACTATATAAATCCGATTTGATACAAATCACAGGAAGTGAGTCTGAATGTGGGTTTAGCTGTCGATGGAAAGTGTAATTATACTCACAGTCACACCCACACCCATCCCTACTATTTTGATAGGTCTCTTGTTATTTTTTCTGTGGTTCTTTCATTACACTTCTCTTTCTTTTATTAAAGTGTACTTCTTACTAACAAAAAATGTTCTCTATTGATCAAAACTATATTTTTCAACTGCCACTTGTACATATTGTACTGGCCGCTTTGCAATTATTTACTGATATTTTTGGTGTTCATCAGTCAATATATATACTGACCATACCTATAGTTTTTTACTGTCCAGTTAATAAATCGCCTTCACAAATGAACAGGTAAATGTTTATAATTATTGCTTCGATAAAACTCAATTATTAGGAAAAAAATTAATCAACGTCTGCTTACCTTTGTAACCATCTGCATCTATATATTTAGAGTTATAGCAATGACTACAGAAGTAATTAGCATAAAAATAATTAATAATAAAATAAGTAGATTGGTTTGTTCTTATCTAAGGACTTGAATGAAAAATGTTTAAAAGTGTCTATATGCATGATTCTAATCATTATTTCTCTCCTTCATATTTTACAGATTCTTGTGTTATTATTTGTGTATTTAATAAAGAAAAATAAAATACTCAATAAATGATATTATTTGTTATAAAGATGAATAGGAAAGAAACTAAGATTAATTTACTAGGGATATAACAAAACCAATACCAATACCAACAGTACTACGAATACCAATGTCAACACTTCCAATATCAATACTAAGACGAATACCAATATCTCACACCAATACTAATACCAATACCAATACTAAAACGAATATCAACACTACTACCAATGCCAATACCCAAGGGCAAAACAGTGTACTTTCACACTTTAAGTAAACTTGAGCTACTTTACGCTATTCCAGCCTACTTTAACTACTTCAATCTTCTTTAAGCTACTTTCTGGTACTTCGAGCCAGTTTGAACTACTTCAAGCAGCTTTCAGTTACTTCAAACGATTTCACAGTTTATTAACATAGCTGCAGATACACATTCTAGAAATCATGATCACAGATCGTTTTGTTTTTTCTAAATAATAATATGATATAAAAAAATTAATGTGTACAAAAAGAAACGCTACACAAATTACAGTATTACATGAACATTTTAATTATTTATTTAAAAAAGATAAAAGGTAAAACATAAACGATCAGACGCGAGTTAAAATGAGTTAAAATAGAGCAGAAGAAAATGTTTATGTACGACTTCTTGTTGTAGAACGATGTTGTTGTGATTGTAATACTAGACGACGTTTACCATTATGTGTACCTTAAGTTGCCAATGCTGGAGAATTAATATTAGATGTTGCTTGAGAAGTAGTAGGTCATAAGACATCGGAAAACTATATTAATGCTGTGTTTGATTGAGATAAAGGTGTTGTTGGTATAGCCGATGTTAATGATTGTTGTCGTTGTTGTTGTTTTGATCTAATATCATCTGCAGCTTGTTTTATTTTTCTCATTTGGTCGCAACCTGTTGATAGCAATTAAGTGTTTATAGTAATTTGACACCTGAATTTTATCATCACTTTTACTTAACATGATTAATCTTCCACATTTACATTTAATACTTGTATTTATATCAGAATTTTGATCACGCTCGAAACTATATTGTATAATCTATGTCTTGTGCTCAGTTAAATGCAGCTACACATACATTTTCTTCATCATCATAACATCATTTGTTTATAAATTTAAGAATATATTCTTTGTATTCATTTCAGGATAATGCAGTAGGTTTAGTGTGTAGGTGTGGATAAGGGTGAGATAATTTAAACGCACCCACACCCACACCCTTTAATTAACTCATTAGAAAAATTAATCCTCATAGACGAAAAAATTGCCAGAAAAACAATATTTTATTGATATTTCAATAAAAATGAGAAAAAAAATGTTACTCTTGTCCATCGTTAAATTCTAACAATTTAAAAAACAAATACTTGCACTTTACATTAACGAATAAGTGAGAGAAAAGACTGATATAACAACGACGGAAAACATATATCACAATCATCTGATAAATAAGAAGTCGAAAAACATTGACTCGAGCGGCGTAGAATGAAAATAACGAGATTAAAGTTTATATGATTGGTTTTCTGACCTTCAGTAGGAGATCTCATTCGTTTGCAAATACTACGAATGTAGATATAGATGTGACTATGAATATTATTCATCTCACACTCATATCTTAGAAAATGGAAGAAAAAGTAAATTTTCTAGCTGTCATGTAGCGGCATCTTATGTCTAAATTCTCGTTTGTTGATCAAAACGATTATGATCATTAAAACGTGTAGAATAAAATAGTCAGTTAACTAAAATATCTATTAATACTAATAATAAACGAAGTGACAATAATGTCCGGTGAATTATTATTTGAATTAATTGAAAAGCCTAAATGGTCATTCAAAAGAAAAATTCATTCTGATGACAAAAAGAATTCATGGACATTGAACAATAGTGTGTTGAATTTATTTGAATAAATATATGTTATTTTAATTTTGTTTTAGCTTTTAAAAATTGGTTTAGCTCATCAATAAAACTTTCTCAAAATGCTGAAAGATTTCTGAAACATACTGGAAGAAAATCATCTCCTATTTCACTTCATATTCCGTATGTTTATTAAATCATAATGAAATATCAAATTAAAATCTAATTCTTCATATAGATCTGATCGTTTAGCTTTGGTCATAAATAATAATATATGTATAATATCACTTATTACATCTGATGTTTTATTGGAAATTCCACTTGATCTCTTACAATCTGATGAATATAATTATTTAAATTGTTTAGCTTGGTCTAATAATGGAAAATTCTTAGCTTGTGGACATTGGTCAGGTATTGTTTGTGTTTATGCATCGTATGATGGACAATTATTACATGAATTACCAAAAAGAACAGTATTGAAATTCTTTAAATAAAAAAGAAACATAATTTTATTTGTTTTTTCTAGCTAAATTATAATGAAAATTCATTCGTAGACATATGGTTTTCAGGAAGTGATGCATCTCCGTTAGTAATTAAAAAAATTTTACTTTTTTTTATTTATTTATTTTTGAAATAGATATTTTGATTTATTATGTTTAAAACGTCGTGGTGAATTAATTCGTTATGTAATGAGTCGTGATCATACAGCATCATGTGCAGAAGATAAATTTGATTTTCATATAAGTTGTGCAATTATTGATTTAAATCAAAATCAAATTTATATTGTACCTTTCGATACAAAAACAATTTCAATTTGGAAAATTGTTGATACAAAACCGTCTGTTATTAAAATAAAAGAAAT